GTCTATTTTTCCCAGCCCAGCCTCCCCTGCCCCTTGCTCCCCACCTCCCTCCCATTTCCACCTAATTAAATTTTTAAAAGAAAAAAATTTTATAATCCTATTCCTAAAAAAAAAAAAAACTAGAAAAAGAACAACTAACAAAGCCCAGAATAAGTAGAATGTAGGAAATAATAAATCAGAGCAGAAATAAATTACAAAGACACTGAAAAAAAACACAAGAAATCATTGAAACCAACAGCTGATTCTTTGAAAAGATACACAAGATTGATGAATCTTAGCCACACTAATCAAGAAAAAAAAGAGGACCCAAATATATAAAATGAGGAAAGAGGAGAAATAACAACTGACATCACTGAAATACAAATGATTGTAAGCAAATACTATGAACAGCTATATGCCAAGAAATTTGATAACATATGTGAAACAAATAAATTTCTAGAAACTGAGAATCTTCCAAAACTGAATCAGAAAGAATCAAAACATCTGAGTATACCAGTTACAACTAATAAAACTGAAGCAGTAATCAAAATCTCACGCAAACATTGTTGACTGGTGTGACTCAGTGGGTGAGCATCCTCCCACAAACTGAAAGATTTGATTCCTGTTAAGGGCACAGTCCTAGGTTGCAGCCCTTTCCCCAGTTGGGGATGTATGAGAAACAACCAATCAATGTTTCTCTATCACATTGATGTTTCTCTCCCTCTCCATCTAAAAATAAATTTAAAAAATATTTTTTAAAAAGAACTCCCAGGAAACAAAAGTCTGGAAGTGGATGGCTTCATGGGCAGATTTTACCAAACATTCAAAAAAAGAACAAACACCAATTCTTCTCAAACAATTCCAAAAAATTTAAGAAGGAAGACTTCCAAGCTCGTTTTGTGAGGTCAACACTATCTTAATTCCCAAACCCGATAAAGACACTACAAAGAAAGAAAAGTATAGGTAATATCCCTGATGCACACAGATGTAAAATTCCTCAAGAAAATATTACCAAACTGGATACAGCAATATATTAAAATGATTATACACCATGATCAACTTGGATTTATTCTGTGGATGCAAGGTTGGTATAGTATTCACAAATCAATAAATGTGATCCATCACATAATCAAAATGAAAGATAAAAATCACATGCTGATATCAATAAATGCATAACAACATTTGATCAAATCCAGCACCCATTTATGATAAAAACTCAGCAAAGTGGGAGTATAGGGATCATATTCAAACTTGCAAAGGCCATATATGACAAACCCAGTCAACATAATTCTCAATGGGAAAAATCTAAAAGTGTTTTTCTTAAGATCAAGAACAAGACAGAGATGTTCACTTTCATCACTCTTATCCAGCATATCACTGGAAGTCCTAGCCACAGTGATCAGAAAAGAAAAAGAAATAAAAGACATCCAAATTGGAAAGAAGGCAGTAAAACTGTCTTTATTCACAAAAGACATGATATTGTACACAGAAAATCCTAAAGATTCCATTAAAAAATCTACTAGATCTAAGAAATGAATATGGCAAAGAACCAGGATATAAAATTAATATTCAGAAATTGGTAGCATTTTTATACACTGATAATAAACTATCAGAAAAAGAAACTAAGAAAACAACCTCATTTACTTTGCAATAAAAAAGAAAGTACCTAGAAATAAATTTAACCAAGGAGGTAAAATACCTGTACTCAGAAAACTATAGGACATGGAGGAAAGATATTGAGGAATATACAAATAAATGGAAGCATATGCTGTGTTTTTGGATTGAAAGAATTAACATCGTTAAAATATCCATACTACACAAAGCGATCTATATATTTCATGTAATTCTTATTAAAATGCCAATGGTATATTTCTCAGATCTAGAAAAAATATTCCAAAAATGTATATGGATCCACAAGAGACCATCAATACCATGGCAATCTTCAGAATGAACAAAGTTGGAGGTATCAAAATACCTGATATCACTGCAGGGGGTGATCTGGGATGGGAGTAAAAGACAGAAAACTGTACTTGAACAATAATTAAATAAAAATTAAAAAATACCTGATATCAAACAATACTACAAGGCCATTGTAATCAAAATAGCCTGGTACTGGCATACGAGTGGGCATATATATCAATAGAACAGAATAGAGAGCCAGAAATAAACTCATACCTTTATGTTCAATAAATATTTGACAAGGAGGCAAGAGCATACAATGGAGTAAAGACTGTTTTTTTCAATAAATGGTACTGGGAAAATTGGACGGGTACATACAAAAATTAAACTAAGCTACTAATTTACACAATACACAAGAATAAACTCAAAATGGATAAAAGACTTAAATGTAAGTTGTGAAACTATATAAGTCCTAGAAGAAAACACAGACAGGAAAATCACAAACATCTCTCATAACAATATTTTTGCCAATATCTCTCCTAGAGCCATGAAACAAAGGAAAAAAATGGAACTACATGAAACTAAAAACCTTTTGCACAGCAAAAGAAACCATCAACAACCCTGGCCAGGGTAGCTCATTTTCTTGGAGCTTTATCCTATACACCAAAAAGTTGGGGTTTGATCTCTGATCAGAGGAAGAATGGGAAGTAATGAATTGATCTCTCTTTCTCTCTCGCTCTCTCTCTCTCCCTTTCTTTCTAAAATTAACAAATATATTTAAAACAAAAATTTTAAATAACAAAATAGAACCAGAGACATGGAAACATGGAAAAGACTGACAGCGTGGATGGTGGAATGAAGGAGAAGGGACTAGTCAAAGACCATGTATGAATGATCCATGGACATGGACAATGGAGTGGTTATAGACTGAGGGAGGGAAGGGCGGGTTGAGTGGATGGGGACAAAGGGGAAATATTGGGACAACTATAGAAGAATGAACAGTAAAAAGAGAAACCATCAACAAAATGGAAAACAACCCATTGTATGAGAACATATTTGCCAATGATATGTTTGATAGTGGTTAATTTTTTAAATATATCATAAACTTAACAATTTATTTTTGGTGGAGTCTATAAAATTTTCTACACACACTATCATGTCATCTGCAAATAATGACAGTTTTGCTTCCTTCTTTCCAATTTAGATGCCTTTTATTTCTCTTTCTTGTCTGACTTCTGTGGCTAGGACTTCCAATTCTATGTTGAATAGGAGTGGTGAAAGTGGACATCCTTGTCTTGTTCCTAATCTTAGTGGAAAAGCTCTAAGTTTTTGTCCATTGAATATGATGTTCACTGCAGGTCTCTCATATATGGCCTTTATTATGTTGAGGAATGCTCCTTCTACTCCCATATTGCTGAGTGTTTTTATTGTAAATGGGTGCTGTACTTTATCAAAAGCTTTTTCCACATCTATTGCTATGATTATGTGACTTTTGTCTTTCATTTTGTTTATGTGATGTATTACATTTATTGATTTGTGAATATTGTACTATCCTTCCATTCCTGGGTTAAATCCCACTAAATTATGGTGTATGATCTTCTTAGCATTTTGCTTATTGTGGTTTGCCAATATTTTGTTGAGGATTTTAGCATCTATGTTCATCAGCAATATTGGCCTAAAGTTTTCTTTCTTATGTCTTTAGGTGTTTTTGGATTAAGATGATTCTGGATTCATAAAAAAAGTTTGGGAGTCTTTCATCTTCCTAGATTTTTTGGAATGTCCTGTGAAGGATAGCAGTTAGATCATCTTTAAATGTTTTGTAAAATTCTCCTGTGAAACCATCAGGTCCAGGGCTTTTGTGTGTCAGGAGTTTTATGATTACTGCTTCAGTTTCATCAGCTGTTATTGGTCTGTTCAAGCTTTCTGCTTCTTCTTCATACAGTTTAGAAGGTAATACTTTTTAAGAAATTTGTCCATTCCATGCAGGTTTTCAAATCTCTTGACATATAGTTCTCCATAGTAATTTCTTACAACCTTTTGTATTTCTGTGGTATTGATGTAATCTCTCCTCTTTCATTTATGATTGTGTTTATTTGGGTCCTCTCTCTTTTTTCTTGATAAGTCTGCTTAAACGCTTATCAATTTTATCTTTTTAAAGAACCAGCTCCTTGTTTCGTTGATTCCTATAATTGTGCTTTTACTCTCTATGTCATTTAATTCTGCTGTGATCTTGGTTATTTCCTTCCTTCTACTTGCTCTGGGCTGTCTTTGTTGTTGTTCCTCCAGTTCTTGTAGGTGTAGGGTTAGGCTGTTTATTTGAAATGTTTCTGTTATTTAGGTAAGCTTGTATAGCTATAAACTTCCCTTTCAGGACTGCCTTCACTGTGCCCCATAAGTTTTGGACTGTTGTGAGTTCATTTCCATTTGTTTCCAGAAACTTTTTGATTTCTTCCTTAATCTCCTTCTTGACCCATTCATTGTTCAATAGCATGCTATTCAATCTCCATGAGTGTGAGTGTTTTGGTTTTTTTCCTTGAGGTTGGTTTTTAGTTCTAGTCCCTTGTGGTCAGAGAAAATGCTTGATATGACTTCAATTTTCTTAAATTTTTTGAGGTTTGTTTTGTGTACTATCATGTGGTCTATCTTTGAAAATTCCCCATGTGCATTTGAAAAGAATGTATATTTTGCTTCTTTAGGTTGAAAGGCTCTATATATATATATATATATATCAGTTAAGTCAGTTTGATCCAGGACATTGTTCAATGTCACAATGTCTTTGTTGATATTTTGTTTGGAAGATATATCCAATTTTGACTGTGGGGTGCACATATATTCACAATGTTTATGTCTTCGTGATTGATTCTTCCCTTGATAATTATGAAATGACCTTCTGGGTTTCTTTTTATGTCCTTTTTTTTTAAGTCTGTTTTGTTTGATATGAGTGTTAGTATCTTGGCTTTTTTTTTCCTGTCCGTTTGCTTGGAATATTTGTTTTCAGCCGTTCACTTTCAGTCTGTGTATGCCTTTTGTTCTGAGGTGGGTCTCTTGTAGGCCATTGTCTCTTTTTATGGCCTTTGTTTTGAAATCTGTTTTGTCTGATATAAATATTGCTACCCCCTTCTAAAAATGCAAACTGCTTTATGAATTTGAGTGTCATCCTCCACAGGGGCCATGCTGATATTCTCTGTATCATTCTAATTTTAGTATATGTGCTGCCAAAGTAAGCACTGTGGTACTTTTGTTTTCATTCATTTCCTTCATACTCCCCCATTCACCTTTTGTCTTCCTTTCATATTTTTTTCCCATTGGGTTTGGGAAAATCTAAAGCAGAAAATAAACATGTCATCTGGTGTAGAAAAAAACATTGAAATTTCCCATCCTTCACACTGGGTGGTGAAGCATAGGGCCATATGATTAACATGTGAGCACTCCTGGGTATAGGGGATAGGAAATACAAGATATAAGATTCAGGCTAGGGTTATGATCAGTAAGGTGAGGGGAATCAGAACAAGAATAGAACTTCAATCTTGAACATAGTTCCACATATGAAGTTTCATAATAGAACATCAACACTACCAATCTCCCTTTTTAAAAAGATCACTTTATTGAGATATGATTACCATACACAAAGCTGTACATATTTACTGTATACAACCTAATGAGTTTGTAGATAAGTTTATACTCATGAATCTATTACCACAATCTATGCCAAAACATATTCATCCCATCCAATAGCTTTTTCTTGCTCTATTTGTTTTTATTATTTTTGAATGTGTGTGATAAGAATACTTAACTGAGATTTACCCTTTTACCAAAATTTTAAGTGTATGTTAGAGTATTATTAAGTATAGACATTGTGTTTTACACTAGATCTCTAGGTCTTTTTCACCTTGTATAACTGAAACTTGGTAATGTTTGGTTAATATCTCCTTTCCCCCTTCCCCTGGTCACCACTATTCTACCCTTTTCTTCTATCAGTTTGGCTATTTTGGGTTCCTTATTAAGTGGTATCATGTAGTATTTGTTCTTCTGTGCCTGGCTTGTTTCCCTTAGTGTAACGCCCTTCAGGTCCATCTATGCTGTCACAAATGGCAGGATTTATTTTTTAAAGGCTGAGTAATATACCATTATATGTATATGTATAGTGCATTTTCTTTATCCACTAAAACATTAAAAAGCATTTAGGTTGTTTCCATGGCTTGGCTATTGTGCCTGATGATGCAATGAGCATAGGAGTGTAGGTATATCTTCTAGATCCTGATTATAATTCTTTTGGGTACATACTGAAAAAGAGGGAGTGATGGATCATACTCTAACAATCTCTTGAATGGTTCCCAAGAGATTCCATATAGATGCCTGCCCTCGGTCAGTAACACAAAGTGTCACACTAACCACTGTTTAATAGTAAAACCTTAAGTCACCTGATCAAAGTTAAGAAAAAAATCTATAAATTCCTTCACTTAACATTTCAGTAAACTATACTGGATATACAAGACAGGTTTACTAACACGAAGTTCCTAGGGCACAACTTGTGGCCAACTGTATGGTTTGCAGAGAATATCCCCCTGATAACAAGCATAACTTCACACTGTGCAGAGAAACCTGGTGCCAGCAAACTCTTGATAGGCTCTATAATATTTGAGTAAACTCAAACCTTGGAAGAAGACAGATGAAAACCATTGAGATTTCTAGACTGGATGAGAGGGCATTTTGGCTCTCTGAAATGCGGCTGACTGCTCAATGTCAAAAAATGCAAAATGGGAACTAAGGAAAAGAAAAAAGAAATATGCCATGATACGGTTTGATATTGTTAATGTAATTCTAATAGAGAATAGGTTTTGAGTTTCATGACAGCCATGAGACAAAAAAAAATGGTCTGAACCACCCCTCCAAGTTCTACTGGGAAAAGCCTAGCTGATAATGTGACTAATGCTGGAATTACACAGACAGTTATATTACTTTTCTGAGACATTTAAAAATATCGAAGACCTTTCTTTTTCTGTTTACTGTATTCACCTCTGACTCAACCACTAATCTATCAAATTTTTCTTCATAAGGAAAATGCTTTTCTCTCAGGAAAATATATAAAACTGAGATTTTGATAAACCAATACTTTATTAAAAATATATTGATATAGCTAATTTAATTCATCTATCCCTGTCATACATTGGCTTGGAATTTACTTATAGAAGCAATAAGATAAGGCTGGTTTTTTATAATGAGTTGTTAGTGTAAATATAAAAAAGTAACACACATGTTGCTTGTAGAGTGATTCTACTTCAAGGGACTAATTGTTGTAATGCTTGTTAGTCTGACAATATTTCTCCATGTTAGTGACTCTTAAGTAGCTATCTTATTTGCCATCTCTGTATACCCTTTGTTATGCAAGGCTAACACTCCAGAGACTATTTCTTCCTTGTTTTCTCCACAATTGATATAAGCTGATGACAAGTGGAAGGTATATTTTGGCTATGTTACCATGTCATGAACACCTTGGCATGAGAATGAAAGAGAATTATCATGAGTTTTTAATAATTTACATTTTTTCATAGGAAGAGAATACTAAATCCACTATGTAGAAATAGTAATGAGATTTAAGGAACTACAAACATCTGGGTATGATTAGGCATCTTACTCATTTCTATTACAAATTTTAATTATTTTACTTGTTTAGCATCAGGCATTAATGAGAAAAGTATTTAACTCTTTCTCTTATCTATTTGCAGCAATGTGAGACTGCTCTGGCCTTGTATTCAGCAATCTATGCGCTGGAGTGAAACATAGCATTCTTTTGGTATGGAAGATGGTTCCATGGAAATAAATGGAAAATTAAGATAATTTTCTTTGATACTTTGAATATATCATAGCCTACTATTGAGTTAATTTCCCAAAGTATCTTCTTTATAGAAATCTACTTCCTTGTAAGCCACTTTGCAAAAAAATAGGATAGAAATATTGTAGTCATGTTGGAGTGCCCCATATCTCAGGCCTCAGGTTCTGAGATACTCTCACTACACTTTATTCCTATATGATTTCACCTAGCAGCATGAATTTAAATGTCACCTCTGTGTATGCACACAATTTATAACTCTATTCCAACTGCCTACCTGATTTTTCCACTTGATTATCTGATAGGCATCTCAAGTTTATTATACCCAACACTGAACCATTGATTACTCTACCACCATCTCAGTCCTTCCCAGTTTTTTATATTTTGGTACCACCATTAACCCAGTTGTCTAAATCCCATATCTAGGAATCATCCTTGATTCTTGAAATTTCTTTTATCCTCCTTAGAAAAATATATCAGTGTGTCTCAATAATTCTGTCTCTAAAATTTATCTGTAATTCACCTACTTCTCTTCATATCCAATGTTGATGTCCTGGTCCTATCTACAGTGCTGTGCTTCTTGGACCATAGCAACAGCTTCTTGTCCCAGCGCTCTGCCTCTTCCCTTGTTCCCTTAAATTACATTCTCCATGGGCAGTCAGAATTATCCTTTAAAGTGCATTTCTATCCCTTTATGAAACCCTTTAAAAGCTTCCCATAGTGTTTGGAATAAATTTCAATTTTTCCCCCAGGACCTATAAGGCTCTGCGTGGTCTAGTTCCTGTGTATTGGCCAACCATCTGCTTCCTGGAGCTACATCCCAGCAGGATCTCCTTTGTTGTTTGTTACACAAAGCTCATTCCTGTCTCAAGATTACCTTACAATTGCTATTCTTTCTGTCTGAAACCCTTTATCAAGTTTCCTTCTTTGAGCACCTGGCTCCTTGTTATGTTTCAGATCTCGCTTGGCTTAAATAGTAATGTTCCTCCTGCTAAGTAGTGTTCCCTGAGGCTCTAAAGTAGTCCCACATTCCCCTTCACTCTCTGTCACATCACCAGTTTTATCTGTTTCATATCACTTATCACAGACTTTCCCCCTTTGTAGAATGTAAGCTCCTGGAGGACAGGAACCTTGTCTGTATTGACACCTCTGTCTTCCTGTTACAGAACAGACCCATGGAGGTGGGGATGATATATTATTACCAAGTGTACCTCTCCTCTTCTCCTGGCATCCCCCTGTACTAGGTTCACCTTGCCCGCCACCAGGGAATGACATCTCTCAATGCCAGAAATTGGCTAAAAGGAAATAAATTACATATTCAAAAAGTTATACAAACTTAAGAGTAATGACTTAATGTCTTCATTAAAATCCCAAAGTCCCTTAAAACACCCACAAACACACACACATTCCTACTTTCCCTACTTTTCAGTCAGGGGTGCCATATCTCAGAAAAAGAAATAGAAGTCCATGGCTCTGGTAGCCCCTGGTTTTTCCCAGTAATCCATGTTTGACTGGCAGGCCTCCCTCGGTTCCCAGAACCATCAGCTGTGTCACCACCGCGATCTCTAGTTAATCCAAAACCATGTGGCACCTTTTCATGGCCCACCAACAAGAGTCATTTCACCCCTTTCCTTCCCGCAGCATCTCTCCTGCATTCTTCCAAACTGCTAGGAAAGAGCTCTGCATTGCTGCTACATCTTGCTTTCCAGCTTCCTAAGCTGTGTGGCAAAGGGAGCCCCAAAGCCATGCCATTCTCCTTTTCTCGCCAAAGCTGTGTGGGTCCCCCCTTACCCCAAAGTAATGTGGTACCCTCTTACTCCAAGCTCTCACACAGTTGCTGTAACCAGGGGGAGCTGCCTCCCAGATAAATCATGGGCATTGCCATAGCTACTTAACATATCCATGAAACTAGTTAAAAGTTATAGATATGCTTATCCATTGCACTCCGGATGTGCTGACCCCTGCGATTTCCCCAAATGTGGGAAACTCGACTGCATAATTTGTGGTAGTGGGGGACTGCGTTCGTGCTCTCCCCTGGAGAAAAAGAAAAAAAAAGTTATAGATATGTTTAAATGACCATGCCTGAGGTTAGTTGCAAAACAACTCTCAATAGCCCTGCTCCATGTGTTCCATACGCCAGTTCAGACTTGTGGGGATGAGGACATTCTACATTTTGTTAGTATTTTCTGGATACCCTGAATTCCAGACCCCATTACAAATCCCTATTTGGGGGACCCCTGGCTGCACCCTGTTACAAATCCACACTTACCCCAAAGTTACACTCCAGAATATTCAGCTCTACCAGGGACATGTTCATAGTTAATATATATTTATCAAACTCTAAATGAAGGAATTCAAAATGTCTATCACCAATAATATGATTACAAGATTATTCTTT